CAATAAAATTTTACAATAATTTATTCTTGGTTTGGGGAAAATGAAACTTATTATAACAAGTTTGTGCTTTTTAATTATTAGTATTATGATTTTTTATGATAATCATTATTGAATATGGAATGTCAAAAAAGTTAAAACAATAAATATTTTTGCATCATGATCTTTTTTAGAATTAAACTTTTTTCTTGTCATTTGACTTTTTTGTTTTGCTAAGTTGTGCCTATTCTATAAAGAATAAGGTTTTTTTTAAACTTCAGTAACAAGCTTCACAGCATGCTCAACAGACTGACTGTGCAATGGAAAGTCCCAGCCAAGGAAACTAAGATCTGGTTTGCATTCAATCATATTATGAAGTTCCTGATAGGACAAGCTTATATTAGCAGGAGGCTCATAGATTAGTTGATAATAAGAAACTAGCTCTTTTCATGTATCACGCTCAATATTCAATTTTTCAATGTTAGAAATTTTGTTAACTCTAATGCCACCATAGATTTTATCAACTGGGAAAGCTGGGGGATTGTCTCGACATTTTAATATCAGCCTAACTGCTCTAGTTCGTTCAATTTCCAAATCATCTACAAGGAGGAATAAAATAACGTTTTCTGGGACAAGGCAATAAGTATTTCTTATAACAACAGGTAGTATAATGTCTCGCATAGGTTGGTAAAAAGTTTTTATTCTTTTCAATCTTGTGTGTAAAATTCTTGGGCCTTCAATAAAGTTTTTAGATTTCTTAATTTCAAACCAAGTAAGACCATACTCTGTTTGTATCTATTTTACAATTTCTTTAAGAACTAGAGTAGGTTGTTCTGTTCTTGAGTACAAAACTAAAATTGATATCGCTAATATCAGCCACCTGGCATGATTAACTGGACCAACTTTATAATTAGCATACAATGGATTTATAGCACCTAAATTTACATAAATATTTTTCCCTTTTGAAAATAAATTAAAATTAGAGTAACAAATAAGAATAAGTATGCGATTTTAAACTACAAATAAACTTTTATATTTATTTAAAATTGTGCTTACCTGAACTTATACCACATACATATTCAAGAAATAACCATTAGAACTTAAGTCATTGGTCACACTCTGTTCTGGAACAACTAAACAAGTCAAAACAGGTTCAAATTTGGCAAATGGTTTATTAAAATGATCTTGCGCAGTAGCTTTTCCTATTTCGCCATAAAATGTTGTTGGAGTGTTTGTACTGCTATCGAGATGTTTTACAAAATGATGAGAAAGTAACTCATCGCTGTGAAGCGCACAACTAATTTTATGAATTTTTCTGCCAAATTTTTGTTCAAGACTGGCACAAACTCCAATTTTATAGAAAGTGTTGACATTTGTATTATCCAAAACAGTTCCTAATAAACACTCAACACTGTTGTAATGTGTTAACACTTCATAAGCAGACAGTGCTAAACTGTCTCCTGTTCCATTTAAAATGTCTCTGTGTGTAAGATATTTTCCTTTCATTACTTCTGATTCTGCTGTAAAACTTAGATTATGAATCTTTTCAATTGGTATTTTTTTTTTTACTCAGGTTATCAAATGATATATTGCAATAAACTAAATTACCTTTATTGTCTTTACTATCACAACCAATACAAGTTAAATTTTGGACTACAATATCATGTTCTGTAACAGACTGCCGTCAAACCCTTTTTTTAGCTCTATCCGTTTTACTTTTATCTAAAACATCAGTTTTATCAATTTTCGTAATGATGTCTAGATCTTTCAACAGTCCATTTCCAAGAATATATATATTCTTTTAATTTTTTTTTAAATTTATACCTTTTAAATAATTAGTTGCTTCAAAATAAAAATAAAAATGCTAATTAGAAAAACTTTTAATCAGAAAAATATAAATTTATTGTTATACTGAATCAGACTACATGTTAAGATCTAATGCAGACGATTCACCAATATCAGAAAAAGTAACTGCAACATGTAAACATTGCTAATTTTCTTATTTCTTTTTTTACTTGTTTTATTTTGTATTTACTCTTGACCTTTGGTCTTTGATGTATTCTTCTTCCTCAAGTGGAATCTGAATAAATTGAAAAAAAAAATCATAAATTTAGCAAAAGGAAACTTACAGATATACTCTTATTTAATTACTTTAAGAAAAAAGTTAAAAGAAACTAAAAGTATTTACTACATATAAAAGTACATATTATGTAGAGAAATATTCCCTGCTATGATGATAAAATTCCCTGCTATGATGATAGAGTGAGTGTTTGTCTCTGGGGGACAAACACTCACTCTATCATCATAGCAGGGAACTTCGCCTAAATTATATCTGCAGGCAGATATATCATAAAGGTTTTTCAATACACTATATGCAGCAGTTTGAGGTCCTTTTTTGCACTTTTTTTCATTAATAAGTTTCATTGGGTTATATGTTTTGACCACTTTTAAATAAATTGATATCAAATAAATATCATCTATTTCAGATTTTTTTTTTTTTTTTAATTCGGATAGCACAAAATAAAAGTATCTATAAATGTCTCCATATGTTGGTAAACACTAGCAGGAAAATCACTTTTTGAACTTTATTCTATATTTCGCCGTTAAAATAAATTACAGAATAGTTTTACATAGTAATTATCAATAAATAAAATATTCTAAAAACAGACGCAGACTCAAAGAAGATATTGATGACGCATTATCACCTCAATCTTTTTATAGAGCTCCTTAATATAATAAAAAATTGATATTTAAAAATATTCAAAAAAGTTATAAAAATTAGGTGACACAAAAACATAAAACTTTTTAAATAAGAAAATAATGTTTCACAAAAGAAGAAGGTAAAAAATGAACTTTTTCGATACAAAAATAAAAAGAAATGCAACACAAAATAATATATATATATATATATATATATATATATATATATATATATATATATATATATATATATATATATATATATATATATATATATATATATATATATATATATATATATATATATATATATATATATATATAAAATAAATTGTTTCAATAAAAAAGTGATCAAAATACATATTAAAATAGAGTTTAAAAAATTTGATCCAATACGACACTCTTTTTATCAATTTTTTTGTAAAAATGTTTTGATGTTTATATAAATATCAGAAAAAGAACTGTTGCTGAAGATTTTTTTTTGATGTATTTATATGATACAAAACATTACAGTGTAAAATTAAAAAATCTATTACCAAAACGTAATTAATTTTATTTTATCCATATTCTTTTTTATCTATATGTTAAAAAATCAAAAATGCTTGTTGCCCTATATATAACAAATTTCTTAATTGATGTCTCTATTTTTTTATTAAAGATACAAATTCAAATGAAACCCTTAGTGCAGACGAAAGCTACGAATCATTTGTGCTAGGCAGTACCGATAATGGCACTGTTCTTAGTTCGCCTTACTATCCCCCTGTAATAACAGCAGATCCTGGTTGTGAGTTTTTTTTCTGTTGTTTTACTTGGTATTCAATTACTTTGTTAAATGTTGTATAGATTTTTGTAAATGTTGTTATAAATATTTTTTTCTCTTCTTTTTTTGTTGTTTTATTTTTATATATTTGTAATAGACAGTATTTAATATTTTTAATTTTAATATTTTATTTTTATTTAATGTTTTTAATTTTAATATTTTTTTATTTAATATTTTTAATTTTAATATTTTATTTTTATTTAATGTTTTTAATTTTAATATTTTGTTTTTATTTAATATTTTTAATTTTAATATTTTATTTTTTTTTGATATTATTTATTTTAATTATTTAATAGCTTTATGTGCTGCTATCAATTGTTTTTCATTTCAAAACCAAGTGTGTCAAAAGGTTAACTCAACCTATGTCAAATGTGTATGTAAAAATGGATACATTTCTTTTGACAACTGGCAAACTTGTGAAGGTATTTTCTTTTGTTGTTCAAAAAGCTTAGGCATCCTTTGTATTATAAATGTTAGAGTAGAGGAAATTTTATAAATTATTTATAAAATTTATAAGTATAAAATTTATATTTATAGAATTTTATAAATTTTTTATTTATAAGATTTTATTTATAACAGTTTAAACTTACTATTTTGTATTTTTGTTATTTGTATTTTTACAATATTCTCTGCTTTGCACAATATTCTCTGTTTTGTATTTGTAACTTTTTTCGTTGGTGTTCCTTTGTTGTATTTAAATTGCATATTACACTTGATATGGTTATATATCACTTAATCAACACTTAATCTTTTGTAAATGTTCATGATTTTTTATGTAACTTTTTATCTGTTGAATCTTGATCTAAACCATCTGAAAAAAAATGATTTGAACCACCTGAAAATCTCACTAAAACTATTAGTATTGCTGAAAATCTCACTAAATTAACATTGCTGTTTTTAATACTGACTTAAGGTTGACTACGATTCGTTTGTTAAATTTTCTTTGTGATGGTCCTTGGGCAGTTGTCTTTTGTCTTTCTGCCAAAATTAATGTCTTTTACATAATTTTCTGAATTCAGGCATGAAAACTTGTATCTAGTTTAAGGCCTCATTCTGTCCCAGGGTTTTTTGCTTCTTGCGCAGATACTATTTACAATCGCTTATTCTTTCATCTCTTTAGCAAGAACAACTCTCTTGAAAACAAATGTATTTCTACCATTGAAAGAAATTTAAAAATGTAATTTCCCTCTAACAGTTGTCTTGTCAATCTTTTTAGTGTTACTCTGTTGGTCTTTGAATTTTTCATTAAAAGTAAGCTTCTAATATTTCAATTTGAGTTTAACAACTTACTCTCTGACAATAAATTAGGGTTTAGATTCTCTCATTCTTTTATTGCTGAAACAGAAAGGTTCTATTGCACCATAGATGAAAGAAGTCATCAAGGGCTATTGGAATTGACATATAAAAGGCTTTTGATAAAATCTGGCATGCTGCAAAACATGCTGGTCTTCCTTGTAAGCTTCCTTTATACTTCCTTTATACTTTTTCTAGAAAAACATTTTTTAATTATTGAACCATTATTATTTAATTGTGTTTAAATTGTCCTTGATGGATAATACTCTTTTTACTATTAGTAACCTCTGGGGAGGTTACTAATAGTAAAAGAGTATTACATTCAACAACAAGATTACATTCTTGTTGTTGAATGTAATTGTTATAACAATTCAACAACAAGATTACATTCTTGTTGTTGCATTGTTAATATTGCCTTTAAAGTGGCTCTATTTACTGATGATAAAACTACATACCCCAGTTATAAAAAAGTCAAAAATTATAAAAACCAATGTGTTGCATCTGATAAAATTGCTTTTCTAGTATTCTCTGCTTTAGTGATTTTCTGCTGGTCTCTAACTCATTATTCCTTTGTCTATCTTGAAATTCTAACCATGAAAAAACAATTACAATAAAAGAATATTTTTATATTTTTTAATTAAAAAATTTTTTAGTTATATATTTTATTTTCTTGAACATCAAGGCTTTGGAATATACCTGTCTTCATGCTGACTCATACATTCAACTAAGCATGAAGTCAAAAAACAAAAAGTTTTATGTCAACCTTTAACTCTTTGTTTCTGGATAGTTTATTGTTATATTGTAAATTTATAGCTTCAATTTTAATTTAAGTTATTTATGATTATAGCTCTTAACTTAATGTCTTAACATTTTAGAATTTAATTTTTTTATAATTTGTTTTTACATGAAATAATTTATTTAAATGAAATAAATTTTTTATTGTAAAGATATTGATGAGTGTGCAACCCAAAATAATAATTGCAATTGGGAAAATAGCAAATGTGTCAACACAGACGGCGGTTATACTTGCACATGCAATGATGGATGGGAACTAGGAAAAGATAGTAAAAGTTGTGTTGGTATGTTATTTAATTTATAATATAACATATATATATATATATATATATATATATATATATATATATATATATATATATATATATATATATATATATATATATATATATATATATATATATATATATATATATATATATATATATGTATATATGTATATAATATATAATATATATACATATATATATATATATATATATATATATATATATATATATATATATATATATATATATATATATATATATATATATATATATATGTATATATGTATACAATATATAATATATATGCATATATATATATATATATATATATATATATATATATATATATATAAAATGCCTTTTTCAATTTGATATATATATATATATATATATATATATATATATATATATATATATATATATATATATATATATATATATATATATACTTATATATATATATATATATATATATATATATATATATATATATATATATATATATATATATATACATATATATATATATATATATATATATATATATATATATATATATATGTATATATATTATATATTATATATATTTTCATATATATATATATATATATATATATATATATATATATATATATATATATATATATATATATATATATATATATATATATATATATATATATATGAAAATATATATATATGAAAACATATATATATATATATATATATATAATATATAATATATATACATATATATATATATATATGTATATATATATATATATATATATATATATATATATATATATATATATATATATATATATATATATATAGTACATATATATATATAATACATATATATATATAATACATATATATATATATATATATATATATATACATATATATATATATATATAATACATATATATATATATATATAAAATACGTATATTATAAATAATATATGGATGACATTTAACAGAAATGAACCAACCGACAATTTTACATATAAAATTTTATTGCTATTGAATTCACTACTTCACAAATTTTTTCATATTTATCAATATATTAATCATCTGCAATATCCACTGTATATGTATTATAATTCAGTTTTAAATTATTGGTTTTATATGCCTTTCAGTTTTATTTTTGTATGTTATTATCTCAGTTAAAGATTTTTCTAGTTGTCAATACCATACACTATATAATACTATATGTTATATACTATATATATAATTTTTTTTTTTATTTTTTTTTACTCCTGTAAAATGATGTTTCAGATGTGAATGAATGTAATAAAACTCAATGCCCAAATGAGTTTTGTATCAACACCATTGGATCATATCAGTGTTTGTGTCCATCAGGCTCTTTTTATGATACAACTTTAAATTCATGTCAAGATATTAATGAATGTGCAGCACTGACACATAAATGTGATGCTCTCAGAGGAATTTGTCGAAATGAAAATGTTCTTCAAACTAATCGAACTTACAATTGCTCTTGTCTTGAAGGATGGAAGCTGTCATCTGGTAATATGTGTATTGGTAAGTATATTATATCTTTGAAGTATTGCATTGTTGTTAATTCTTTTACTTATTTGTTTAATTTTTTTTTTAATTTAATTTTTTTGATACAAAATATGCAATATTTTTCTTCAATATAGCTAATCCTACTTTAATATATTTTACTTTTGTTGTACAAAGCTGATAAAGTGTATAAAGTTAATTGTATATTTTGATATTAAATTTGTATTTATTAGACATTGATGAATGCAATAATACTTGCAAAGGAGTAAATTCAATTTGTTATAACATTGAAGGCTCTTATAATTGCACTTGTAAGGATGGATTTCAATTTAATGCAAGCTCTCATCAATGTGAAAGTAAGCTTTTAAATATATGTGGTGCAAATAGTATTTTAAACAACTTAGTTTGTTTCTTATGTATTTTTCTAGAATCCATTGTTAGCATATACTCTAAATTTTTAACACATAGATTTTTTAACACATAGATAATTTTTTTACACATAGATAATTTAACACATAAATTTTTAACACATAGATAATTTTTTAACAAATTTTTCTGCTGCAAAATGATGCTGATGTAAAAGAGTCTTAAATTATTATTTTTAATGTAATCTTAATCCATTGTGTCAACATTCAGCCCTCAAAATTAATCCAACTTTAATAGTAGTTGCTGCAGGCTACCACTATTAAAGTTGGAAGTTACTGGAAGAGAAAAGATGATGTTTATAGAGCAAGATAACAATTGACAGACGACATAAAAGGTAAGCAAGGTAAGCAATATGAAGAAAGCAAAGAACTGATGTTTGAGGAAAAAAACTAGATGAGTCAGAGTTTTTTGAGTACTTAGGAACAGTCACAGTGTAATTGATAAAAGGATGAATGACGTGTAACACAAGAATGAAGTTTAGTAGATAGCACAAGAGACACTGACTCTTTAGAGCAAGAGACACTAGTTCTTTAGAGCATTGCCCATTATAGTATTTTTTAAAAAGAGGAAGAGAAGCAACATTACAACCATGTGATAATGTTTGGAGGTTGGCTGCAAGAGCAGGTGTTTACAATGCGTTTTTGCACCTTGTTCAAAACAGAAAGGGCATCATTGGAAGATCCACCCCAGATATGGCAACAGTATTCTATACAAGGACATATCTGAGATTTATAGAGGTAGAAAATCTGGAGTAGAAAATCTGGAGTAAGAAAGCATCGAGCACAATAAAGAGATGCAACCTTAGCAGAAGCTAATTTTGCAATGGATTTGATATATGGTTTCCAAGAAAGATGGAAAAAGGTAATCCTAGAAGATGAAGGGTAGTAGTTCATCAAGTATATTATTGTTCATGAATAAAGGATCTAAATTATTGCAATAACGATTGACTGAAAAAAATTAGGTTTTATCTGAATTAAAGTTTACCAGCCACTGAGATCCCCATGCTGTATCAGAAGTGAGGTCCTTTTCAAGCTCAAATGCCCCTTCCAAGTAATCAGAAAGTGGTGGCTTCTTATCAAGACAAGAATAAATGGTAGTATCACCAGCGAACAATGCTACCTTAGATGTGAGATTATTTGAAAGAATATTAATGTAACTTGAATAAAGTATAGGGCCAAGGATACAACCTTGTTACAGGATATGAATAAGATTTCTGTCCATCAAGGACAATTTTTATACTACAATTGGTAAGGAAGGATTCAATAATCATAAAGATGTTACCTGATACACTGTAAGTAGAAAGCTTATGAAGAAGACCAGCATGCCAAACTTTGTCAAAAGCATTAGAAGATCGAAATCCATATTGAAGATCAGAAAGTTTTAAGATTCAAGATGAGAGATTTTGTGTTTGTTAATTAAAGACTCAAAAATCTCGCTAATGATAAGAAGAAGACAAATGGGACCGTAGTTAGATGAGTCAGATCGCTCTCCAGAGTTTTTGAAAATATGGATAATAGATGCGGCTTTCCAGCAGGCTAGAAACTGATAAGACTCTGATAAGCACTTGTTAAATAGTTTTGAAAGTATAGATAACAGCTCTGGAGAACACTTCTGCAAGACTATAACAGGTATGTTGTGACCACAAGCTGTATAAGAGTCTAACCACGAAATCACTTTAGATAGAGAAGCTGTAGTTATATAAGGTCAAGCAATGGATCAACCTGTTTGTCAGCTATATCAGGTAAAACGCAACTAGTGGAATCGAAAAGTGATATTGATGAAAAAAATTATATATGTATATATATAAATATACATATACATATATAAATATACATATATATATATATATATATATATATATATATATATATATATATATATATTTATATATATATATATATATATATATATATATATATATATGTATGTATCCTTTATGGTCTTGTTAAGGTAAATTTGATTTATAAAATGTTCACAATAATTAATGAAAATCCTGTGATCCGTTCTATATTAAAAAGAGAATATCTTTTCATAAAAAAGTTGCTATTTTTACTAAAACACTTGTGCACATGGAAATTTAGTTTAGTTGCAACATAAAATTACCCTGTTGTGTGGATACTGCATTTCTTATTATCTATTTGTGTTAAATTATACATATTTTAAATTATAAATAAGAAAACAAGTATAAATATAGAATTTAATATCTTTTAATAATGATTTTTTAATCCTTTAAATCTTGTTTTAGACCTTTAAATTTTGTTTTAGATCTTTAAACCTTGTTTTAAACCTTTAAACCTTGTTTTAAAAAGTCAGATTTTTTAATTTAATCATCAGTATATTAAGTACATAAAATTTTTTTTTATTATTTTGTGATTTTTTTTATTGTTGTTGTTGTTGTTGTTGTTGTTGTTATTATTATTATTATTATTATTATTATTATTAATATTATTATTATTATTACTATTAATATTATTATTATTATTGTTATTGTTATTATTGCTATTATTGTTTTTTATTTACTATATTTTTCTTTACAGTGGTACAATGGTGTGTTGATGATTGTCCACAACATTCTAACTGCTCGATGACAAGTCCTGGTCAGTTTAAATGTGTGTGCAAACAAGGTTATATAATGAACAATCTTATGCTTTGTGAAGGTGAGAAAAGTTTTACTAATAAAATTTATTTTGCTAGTTTTCAATTTTAGTTTAATTTTTTTTTTTTTTCTTTTTTTACATTGGTTAGTTAAACATAAAAATATTTTTTTCTTTAGTGTTTCATAATAGTGACCCTAATTTTTGTATTATAGTAGCATATATTTATATTTGATATCAGGATTTGATACCAAATATTGATAATTAAATATGTTTTGCTATGCAAAGTTTAGGAAATCCTAATATGTGCAGTAGGGGTGTTCGAAAAAATAAAATTTTCAAAATGTGAATACACAACAAGCCAAATTTTGGGCAAATATTAAAAAAATGCAATTACAAAAAAAAAATTCCAAAATTATTGACGTTTAACTTGTGCTCAAGTTGCAAAATACCCCGAAAAATGCCCCAAAACAAGGTAAACGTCAATATTGAATCGTCAATATTGAAACGTCAATATTGAAATTTTTTTTTTGTAATTGCTTTTTTTTTATATTTGCACCAAATTTGGCTTCTTGTGTATTTGTGTTTTGAGAGTTTTATTTTTTTGAACACCCCTAATGTGCAGGTATAGAGTTACCAAACATCCTCTATTTGCAAAGGAGGCATTTTTAAAGAAAACATGAACATAACCTAAGATAAAAAGCCACAACATCTTTCTAAAAAGATATATTTATTATAGTAAAAAAATTAAAAAAAAAAAATCATTTGAGAAACTTCATTCGAGTCATTCTTCATATTGCACTTGATACACTTAGAATTTTATCATCAAAATTTTAAAAATAACCATCCATAATTGTTTTAAAATCTCACGTGTATTGAATACAAAATAAAAGTTAAGTTGTATGATTGTATAATTGTACAAATTATCAAAGTTTTTTAAATTTTTTATGATAGCAAATTATAGTATTTATAAAAAACATTTTTATGTATTCCTTGAGTCAAAATATAAGTTTTGCGTTTCTTTATTTAAAAATAGATTAGTTTTGCTTACAAAACAAAGTATTTGGACATAAGTCACAAAATATTTTAATTAGTTAAACTTTCCAACTTTCACAGTTAAATTGATAAATGAACTTTACTTTTAAGAGTGAAACTTTGAAGAAAAAAAAAGAGTGAAAAAGTTTTTTGAACATAAGTTTATCATTCTTAACATAGAGCCCCTTATCTTAAATGTTTTTGCTCTAGTAAATGTAATATAACTTTGGTCTTTAGGGGCATTTCATATATAAATTATTAGTAAATTGCTTAAAATTCATTTTACACAGTGTTTCATTTTACATTTGTTTCATTGGAAGTGTTTCATAAATCAAGATATAGAGTCCTTATATATAAATCACTGTGTCAAATGAAAAAAATTTGATAAGTGATTTTCTACTATACTATTATTGCTCCGTCCCTTTAAGAACGAGCTCTCTATTTTGAATACATTTCAAATAGAAAATATATTTATATAGAAGTTGATGAGTGTAGAACATTGTCAACAAATCAGTGCACCAAACCTCATGAAATGTGTTCGAAGATTACTAATGGTCCAGGAATTGAATGTATTTGTCGTCAAGGATATGAGAAAATTGCAGGCATTTGTAAAGGTAAAATTTTGTTTAAATAAAAATAGGTTTATATTTTTATTTGTTTTTTTTATTTTTATTTGTACTTTTTTATTTTTACTATTACTATTTCATTATTAGAAATACCTTTGGTTACTTGCAATACAGCTGCTCAATTAAATGTTTCATTATGTCCACCTGATCAAAAATGTCTTGATAAAGATTTGGGATTTGATTGTTTATGTCCTGATGGTTATGTTAAAAATAGCTCAAATCTGTGTGAAGGTATTAATACAATTTAATTATTTTCTAGAGAGAGGTGAAATAAATTTTCTAGAGAAAGGGAAAAGAGAGAGGGGAAAATAAATGATGTAAAAGTTTGAATAAATGCAAGCATTTTATTTTATGTTTGAATTATTTTGTTATTTAATTTTTTTATTGATTTATAATTTTAAAAAATTTATAAATAAAAGATTTTAGTTAAATGTTATAACTAAATATACAGTTTTTAGTTCTGATTTAACTATATGTTTGATATTGCATTACTTAAGATAGTGTATGGGAATTTGCCTGGAAATAATGAGATAAAAGCATACTTTGCTAATTTTAGCAAAGTATACTTTTATTAAGTTATTTAGCGATCTGAGCTTTTCTAATATTTTTTTAATGTCTGTTTCAAAGTTTCTAACTTTTAAAAAATCTAAAAATTTTTACAAGCTAAAATAAATATCTTTGTTGTAATTATTATAATAGATATTATGGCAAAGCAGCATTTGAAATATATTGACAAAAACCATTTTTTAAATAAAAAAAATATTGGAAAAAAATACATACAGAAACAAAACACCTTCTGAAACTTTTTAGTCCCTGTTTTTTAATATGTTAAGTATAAATATTAGAAATATTAGAAAGTAAAAATGTTAGAAAAAAAAAATTAAAACTTATAGACTGTAAAATGTTAAAGTTTCATTTCATTAAAGTAAAATGTTGAGTTTATTTTCATTTTATTCAAGTAGAGAGAGTACCATGCACATGTTACAAAAAAAGTTTTAAATTTTGCTGAAGGTTCTCATTTTAAAAACTAAAATACTCGCTATATATTGCTTTATCAAGCCTGTTCCATCACTGAAATCACTATGTGGTTGGCCAGCAAACTCTAATCTCTACTCATAGTAATCTAATCTAACACTTGAATCTGACACTCGCAGTAGGCAAGCAAACTCTTCACTTAAACTATATCAAACTGTCATAGGGTTTCTTGTTTAAAAAATCCATTAATCTGAATGAATGGTAGGCCTATATTACACAACTTTGAAGGGTTTTGGATTTGAAAAATCTAAAACCCTTTGACATTTAATGTTGCTAGTGTCACAAAATGAGTTGCATGATTTAGTATCAGATGGTTACCAATTGTTATTCAATATATTGTAGGTGGCTCAATGATCTTAATGAATGGCAGACCAATATCACATAATTTTGATTTAATGAAGCCAACTTAAGTTGATCCACAGCAGCAGCAGCAGGGTGATACTCTATATGTGTTAAATATTCCTTTTTATAGTTGTTGCATTGTATGCTCCAAACATCCAATGTTGTTCAACAACATGTTTTACATTATTCTTTTAAATATGGATTCATCCACTTAGCCAACATATCCAGGGCTATGTTGTCTAAATTAATTTGTTAAAAATCACTTAACAGAAGTCCAACTAATGTCCCTAAAGTTCATTTAACTAATAATATCTAACAAATGTTCATGAAGTACTGATACTGTTGAGTTGATGTATTCTGCAATTACCTGCAATATTTCTTAAATATATCAAAACAAAAAATAATATTAAATACAACATGAAGTGTGCTTGAAGTAGTAAATATGACCATTGGGATGTATTATTTGTTATTTGCAAACTATATCAGCAGTTAAAAAGGATGCAGCAAGCTTGATAGAATCACCATGAAAACTTGTTTGATGTGATTATTGATAGTTCTTTTTATATTTTTTGTTTGAAATTATGTATACACTCTTAATGGTTTGTTTTCAAGTCAAGCATCAATTTATAATTATGTTTAAGCAGAGGAAAAAAGAATAAACCATAAGTTAAAAAAATAAAATTGTTATATTATTTTAACTACTTTTTTAACTGACTCTATTTAAAGTAAGTTTTTTTTCTTAAATAAATTTAATAGTTTTAATTTTTATTGCCTGAATTCAAATCATGTAGGCGTGTAAAATTAATCTGGCAGGATTTTTTATTTCCTTTATCCATTCATTAAAGTTCATTAATCCATTCATTAAATTATTAACTTAAAATTCAGACTTAACAAAAACAAATTTATTTACAATGTTTAGGGGGTAAGAGCAAAATGTTTGCTCTCACCCCCTAAATGTGTTCTTTATCATAAATAGCACTTTAGAGGTTCCTCAAGATCTTCGATTATTTAATATGTTAGGTCCCTAAATGGTCAAAAGATCAACTTTACTAAATGCTGGGTCAGCTAGTTTTTTGATAATTTATTTATAGCATATTTTTCTATAAAATGATTATTATTGAAACTTCTTTTATATATAATATAATTTCGCTTCTTTTAAGACCCAGGTTGATAAACTTTTGAAGAACGCTTCTTTTAAGACCAAGGTGGATATATATATATATATATATATATATATATATATATATATATATATATATATATATATATATATATATATATATATATATATATATATATATATATATATATATATATATATATATATATATATATATATATATATATATATATATATATATATATATAGAGATTAAGAATCTATATACTTATCAATTATGCTGATAAAGTGCTTTTATGGGCATTCAGGCCTAGTTAATGTAAAGTTATTCCTATAACATTGCATGTATTGATTTGTACAATGCTTTCCTGTGAAACAGTTTTAACATTAGAACATTATCACATTTTTCATACTGCTTCAACAATTATGCAAAAATATTTTTTAAGTATGAAAAGTATTGTAGTCTCACTCCGGCGTTTTTAGAAATAAGAATAAAACTTTTGATACTATTATGTCTAACTGTAGGATAAGTTTAAAGAATCAGCCTGTCACATGTGCCAAATGAAATATCTCTGTTGATTCGATTTACAGAATGTTAGGACTAACCAAATAATAAGTTGTCATAAATGGCTCTTTTTCCAATGCTTTTATTAACTTGTCGTCTCTGTTTGTTTGTTTGTTTGTTTGTTTGTCTGTGAGCATCAAATCTTGCAATCAATTTTTGAGTCACTTCCTGATCATAGATTTTCTTCAGATTTTGCATACGTACTCTTGCTTGATGACAATACAATATTTAATAATTAGTTTTATAATAAGTTAATTTATTTAGTTATAATAAGTTGATTTATTTATTAATTTAATTATTTTAATTAAGTTTATTTTTTATATGGAAAAAAGAATAAAAATTTTATAAATAAGTATATCGATTGTTTTCATACTTATACGCTTAGCATATTTGGATAAGGCGTTTACTTCGTAAACGGAATGTCTATGGTTTGATACCTACATCTTTCTGAACTTTTTTGTTTTTTTACACAGGCATACAGCTTAATGTTAATAAAATAAAACAGTAATATATGAAAAAAATTTATTGCAAATTTGTGTTTACTTATAAAATAATAACATTCAAAATATTTATATTGTTTAAAAATTTTTAAACTTTAATTTTACTTGTTTAGCTATTTTATTTAGTTATTATTATTTTTTATTAAATTTAAATACTTCTTTTTTATTTATTATTTCTTTATTTAAATGTTTATAATTGTATCTATGGACCTTGTTCCTACTTGTATGTACATCTTATTTGAAATAAATAACATACATACACAAAAAAAATAGTATATATGCATATATATAGATGTTGATGAATGCAAAGTTGGAAATGTCTGCTCTCCAAACTCCAAATGCATAAATACATATGGAGGATACAAGTGTGAGTGCAATGACAATTACTATGGAAACAATGCAACCAATCCTTCTTTAATTCGTTGTTATCGTAAGTTTCTATGATTTTTTTTAAACATTTTGGTTCACTAGATTTTGTTATTGTTGTTTATATTTTGTTCATCATAATTTATTTGATAGTCAGTCTATTTTTTCAAAACATGTTTAGCACACAAAAATAATTTTTTATTTTATTATTTTATGTCATTTTTTATGTTTTTAGTTTAACTTATCCCAAATTTAATTTCAGGTGTCATTTTAAAAAATGTATAGTTTCAGTAAAAAAAAATATTTATACTAAACAATTTAAATTATTTATAATTTTTTAAATTTTTAAAACTTACAAATATAAAACAAAAAGTTTGCAAATTAGTAAGTATATATATAAGTAAGTATATTTATATTTGTAAGTTTTAAAAATTTATAAATTATTTAAATTGTTTAGTATAAAAAAGTTTTTTTTTACTGAAACTATACATTTTTTCAAATGACACCTGAAATAAAATTTGGCATAAATTTAAGTAAAAACATAAAAAATGACTAAAAATAATAAAATAAAAAATCATTTTTGTTCTAAGTAACCAAAAGTTGATAGATTTTTATTAAGACTTTAGAGTATGGTTGTATTTTACAAATAGAGTATTGTATTATTTGTAGAACAGATACAAATATTTAAATAGAATTGTATATATATAAGTTGTATAAATAAATATAATTGCATATATAAATAGAGTATTGTATATTTAAATAGAGTATTGTATTGTTGTTAAATATTGTCGAAATAATTGTATTGTACAAATAGAGCCATTCTAGAGGTAAGAAACAACATAGAATGTAACCTCTAGGGAAACAATGATGGTAACTTGTAGTAATCAAATTGTTTCTGAATATAACAAAGAATGTCATCAAGGACAACACTGTGATTATAAAGAAATAATTCAATAGTTTTGAAAATTTTTCCTAATACACTTTATAAAGCTTATGGTAAAGATCTTCACTTTAAATCGTAACTCAAAGAATTAAAAATAGTTTAGAATAATGACTTTTTTAAAATGTCAAAAACAAAAGGAAAGAAGAATGAGAACAAACTGAGCACAAGCTAGGGTTTGAGTCAAAACACAAATTAAGGAGCATAGGTAAGTGATTTGGATGATTAGAAGTCATAAGATTGAGTCTTTGGGTAAGAGGTAGAAATAAATATTTTGAGTTTCAGTCGCAGCAGTTGTAATAGAGCCAAACCATTTAGTAATGTGAGAATTAAAATTATCAAAACAGCAAGATGGCAGATGGATAAAGAGAAACGACATGATTAAAACCTTTTAAAACCTATGTTTCTAGACCTATAATTATTTTAACAATTAATACTAAAAGTTTATACTTTATTAGAAACACATTTTTATTCTCTGTGGACTCTGCATTTAATTTTTATTAATAAATTTAGAAAACAGCCTCTGGACCTCCTGGGAACAGGTAGGAAAATGCTCTCAACTATGCAAAAGTGATGGAAATGATGGAAAGATCACCTTTACCCGAAAATGTCAAAGGTCTGGACCAGAGAATTGTGTTGGAATAAGTACAAAAGAAGAACTTTGCAACACTGAATTTTGTGACAACAGTAAAATTTATTGATTTTTAACTCAAAATAACTGTTTGTTTTTTTGTTTGTTTTTTGTTTTTTGTTTTTGTTTTTGTTTTTTTTTAGTTTTTTGTAGTTAAAGTTATTATCTTATCGTTTTTTTGTTTTAAGAGATAAAGATGATTAAGACTTCAGAGTGTGAAAAGTGGGAAAATATGAATGATGATTATATGCTTCAAGATAATAATGATACATGGCTTCGCACGCTTCGAACTTGGATTGGTTGGAATACAAAAGGTTTGTGAATATATGTTTATATTTATATTTACGGTTGTCTAAACATGCATACATATGTGTATATGTATATATTTCTATCTGGTCAGGTAACATGTAACCCAGTACAACCTGCTTCATGTCGGGCTGCCTTGAAGAATATGTTTTTTTAGGCAAATTCTAGGAGAAGCCAACTCTGATTTAAAACAACCCCTTCCTTGGGGCTCTTTGTTGAGTACAAGCTAGAGATAATGTCTCAATAAAAATACTCATCTTGGACAGATGTTAAATGCATTTGGCTACTGTCTTGGAGAAGGCTTCCTAGGCAAAGACTTAAGGGGTAAACAGTTTCTATCTGTTAACTAGCTTTGCACCCCTTCTTCATCTATTAGGTTGGCTAAGATGTATTTATAATACATTGTTTCTACTGAAACAATGTATTATAAATACACTGTTTCAGTAGAAACAATGTATTTATAATACTTTGTTACAAATACATATATACTGAGACTGGCTGATAGTTAGGTTTCCTGAACTCTGTGGTAGCTCTCACAGAGGCTGATTCCAGCAACAGCTGTAAAATATCAGAGTACTAACAGTGCCATGTTGCGCATGGATGGTGTCCTTGTTTGTACTTTCTTTTTGCATTGTTGAATTCACATTTAAAGCCCTTTGTTACAGCTTAGGTTTTATTAGTAGTAATGAGGCAATTGGTTGGACTATTAATTAGTGTACTCAGTACACTATTTAACACTATTTATCCCTGCTTTGAGTTAAGTTCTTTAATAAATTTAAAAATGACTAGTAATAAAAGTACCAAAATTATAAAACAAAAAAAACCACCATCATAAATTTCTTTAAATTTACCATTCACTAATATTTGTGGTCTTCAAACTAACTTTACTTCTGTTGAGCCTTATCTCTTGCAAAGTTCACCAGACCTACTTGCTCTTTGTGAGACTAATTTAAGTTTGGCTGTATCATCTTGTGATATTAATGCTGATGGCTATCTTCTTTTAATTTGCAAAGACAATAATAGTCACATGCTTGACCTGGGTATCTACATTCGTAAGAATTCACCCATATGTCAGGAAACTAGGCTTGAATCCACAGACTATCCTTTTATGTGCTTTCGTTTAGCACCAATTCACTCTATTGCCTTTTTCCTTTTTCTACATTGCTCTCCTTCATTTCAAGACTGTACTCTTTTTGATGTTATTTCTGATCAAATTGACCAAGCCCTTTCTCTTTATCATTAAGCCAGTATTGTTGTTGTTATTGACTCATCCCATTGAATGGCTAGGCTCTAGTATTAGTGAATCTGCAGCCATTAAGGCCCACAACTTTTGTCTTTCTTAATCTTTAACAAAATAAGTCAACTTTCCAACTTGTATTCCAGACAAATCATTCCAGACTAATCCTAGTCAGTGCTCAGTTTCTCTACATTCACTCTTAGATGCTTCTAATTACGGTTTGATCTCTCTAATAATATTATCTCATTCTTCTTCATCATCAAAATTCCCCTATTATCATACCTCTTACAACTACCTTGAAGCTGACAGGGGCTCTTTCCTTGATTTTCTTCGTGATGGTCCTTGGGTAGAAATTTTTTGTCTTCCTGCTGACAAAAGTGCTTCTTATATAACTTTTTAAATCCAGGCTGGTATGGAATCTTTTATTCCCTCTCAATGATTCCAACCTACCCTCCCTCTTCTCCATAGTTTTTCTTTCATTGTGCTGCTGCAATTTTTAATCATAACCATTACTTTCATATCTATCAGCACGATTCTCCAGAAAACTGATGTCTGTTTTCTACTGCTAGAAACCGTTGTAAAAAGGTGTCTAAAGCCCGCTATTTTCAGGTCACAAAATCTCTTATATAATCTTAAAAACTAGGCTCTTGTGACTTCTGGAGAATCTTTAATAGTATCTATAACAAGAAGAAGTCTGTTATTCTATCTCTCTTGTATGGTTTAGATTTTGTCACCTCACCTAAAGACAAAGTTAAATTGTTTGCTAAGAACTTTTCATCAATATCATCTCTTGGTTCCACTAGTTTCGTTCTACCTAATATAGCCAACAAACAGATTAATCCATTGCTTGACCTTATATCACACCGGCTTCTGTATCAAAAGATTCTTCTACAGCATGTAGTCCAGACAACATACTTGTTGTAGTCTTGCAGAAGCGTTCTCTGGAGCTATATTTTCAAAACTCTTTAAGAAGTGGTTATCAGAGTCTTGCATTCCAGCCTGCTGGAAAGCGACATCTGTTATCCCTATTTTCAAAAAGTCTGTAGAGTGATCAGACTCTTTATACTATCGTCCCATTAGTCTTCTTACTATCTTAAGCAAAGTTTTTGAGTCTTTAATTAACAAACACTTAATCTCTCATCTTGAATCTAAACTCTTACTTTCTGATCATCAATATGAATTTTGATCTTCTCGTTTTACTGCTAATTTGTAAATGGTAATAAGTGATAGGTTATTGTGCATTAGATAGATGTGGAGTGGCTAACATTTCTAAAGCTTTTGATAAAGTTTGGCATTCTTCTCCATAAACTCTCATCTTATGGTGTATCAGGTAACATCTCTAAGATTTTTGAATCCTTCCTTACCAATCGCAGTATTGAATTGTCAGCACTCTTCTTCATATCATGTAACCTTAAGGGTTTCTCAAGGTTCTATTCTTAGCCCTATCCTATTTTTAATTTACATTAACAAGCTCCCAGAAATACTGTTGCCTCAGACAAGGTGCTAAAACGCATTGTTAACATGGTTGGACCTGCAACCAACCTCCAACCATTATCACATCATCATAATGTTGCTTCTCTTTCTCTTTTCTATAAGTACTATATTAGGTACTGCTCTAAAGAGCTAGCGTCTCTTGTGCCATATCTTAAAATATATATAAATTAGTAGAAAATCACTTATCATATTATTTTCGTTTTCACACTGTGTTTCATCTATAAAGACTTTTCAGAAATGAATGCGGAAACTAATAAATATTGGTTTATACCAAAAATTAAATTACTAATATATATATATATATATATATATATATATATATATATATATATATATATATATATATATATATATATATATATATATATATATATATATATATATATATATATATATATATATATATATATATATATATATATATATATATTCGACTTTTTTTGCCAACTTAAAACCCAAATGGAAGAAAAAAAACTAAGAATAATGAAAAAATTCTATCGCTCTTATCCCAAACTCTCAGTTGATTTAGCAGCAAATCCCTTGCATGTTTTCATAAATCATCCGTTGTGTGTACTGAAGCTCTCACAGCTTCCTAGATGAATTGTGGGATACAGTCAAGTTGATGGCCAATATTCACATTTAAAATGGTCAGAACTAAATGATAGCACCAGATCACTTTAGTGAAAAACTTAGTATCTATAATAAAAATTACGATTACACAGTTTACTGTTTTGTTTACATTAGTAAACTAAATTGACTCATTTGATATTGCAATAAATAAAGTCATAAACAATCAAAACTTTTATGAATATACCGCTATCAATTTAGGGGGAAATAAAATCTACAAACGATTATTTCTTATAGAAACTTGACACCATCAAAATGTTTGCCCATTTAAATGTAAATTAAATATATTTTTTTAGATTCGATGTGCAAATATATTCTGGATGCTGCATCTACTTTAAACCAAAATTTACAGAACATCGAACTTGAAATAATTCGTTTGAACCAGATTAAAATAGGTCTTAAAAAAATTATTCATTGCAATTCTTATATTCAAAAGAAGTCGATCTTGTTTTATAAATATTCTTCCGTACAATCGAAGTTGGTAATAAACCTTGGTATAAAAGCAGCCTACAAGAAATTACAAGCAAGAATCTCTCTCAAACAAAATGAGTGCTTACTTGATTCTGGTAAAAAAAAAAAACTACTTTTTAATTTTTAATAAAATAAATATATAATTATTTTAATTTTATTTAATTATATTTTATGTATTTAGGAAAATTTGGAGATTACTCTTATTACGTTCCAAGCAAGTTCCTCGTAAACTAAATGTTTTGAAATTTTAAATAAGTTTTGTACATTATAAATCAATATTTTCAATACTGGCTGGTTCCATATTACCGTTCGACTGTTCAAAATGATTTGTATTTATTTTTTGTATTATAGCATTCAGTTTTTCGTTCAGTTTGCTTTTTAAATAATAACGATGCATATTTTTTTTTAAATAATAACGGTACAAGATATTGTTACTAATGTTAGTTAAAAGTTTGATATTAGATACGATAAAATAATTTTAATTAGGATAAAATAAGACGAAACATTTTCGATCTTTTTTTAAAGTGTTGAGTTTAACCTGCTTATATGATTTTATTTTAATTTTTTTTTTTTTTTTTGTTACTTAAATTTGATATTGGCTATTTTATTTTTACTATTAGATTATTTTTTTTACTGTAGCTTTTACATATAACTTTTTTTTGGTTTATTTTTATTTGTAACTTTTTTTATTTAACGATTCGCATGAATTTCCTTTGTTTTTATTATAAAAATATTTTTAAGCAATCAAACACGACTAAAACTGTAAAAGTTCATAAACTTGGGATTTGTTACACGCTTTAGGGTGGAATGCAAGAAGCGAACTTGAGTCAAGCTCGACTTGATCTTTACATTGCAACCAATAGCGACAGAGTATGGGTTTTCAAAAATCTATAGAACTATTTTAGAAAATTTAGAAGCAACAAGATCTGGTCATAAGAGACATCGGTATTTGTGTTTTCTCATAAATAGCAAAATTCTTTTTGGGGGGCATTCTTTAATGAAGAGACTCGCAGTCAAGGTCTTTTTAGTGACAAAACAAGAAGACTGCATACCAGAGCTACAAAGTGCTTGCCAGGCAAAGAACTTGGATGCAAACTTTTCTCGTCAAATATATTTAATTTGATCATAGACAGGTTTACCTTTGTTCTCATTGTAAAACTATTGACCAGGAAGTTGTGAAAAAATCGCCTTGCAATATGTTTCGTCGTCTTCAATTATGCACATACTTTTATCTGCCATTGTTTTAACCAACCTCTTTCACGTTGAGTTCCTTTAATTTCACCATTTATGCTTCTCTTAGGTGTATTTTCTTTATAAAATGCTTTAATTCCAGCATTTTTAAGTAATATTTTGATATAAGAACGCAAAAACATGAACTTTCTTGCTAGGTTTTGCTGTGACTGGTTCGGAATTCTTGCCATTGAACTAAGAATCAACTTTACCTATTTGAATTTATAGATAGTTTTTTTTCCTCCACTTCCAAGTTTTCGTTCGAAGCTTATAGTAGTCTCAAACTTATTTATAATATCTATGACTGTAGATTTTGGGACTTTGGTACGTTTAGAAATTAGCGATATGAGGTCAATATATTTTTGCAAAATAAATTCACAACTTTTTCACACAATTCGTTTCTAAAACATTTTGCAAACAAAAGTATATTAACATTGTTAAAGATAAGGAAGTAACGTTTAATTAAAAAAATAAAAGAAATAAAAAGCATTTGTGGTTTTAGAGAAAATTCAATTTAAAGTTGCCGGATTTTCCGTGTCCACCCTATTTATACTTATTATTACAAAACATTATAAGATTAATTAAATTCACATAAAATTATATTTGGCTTTGCTTCTAACAAAGATTTATTACCGAAGTTTTTTACTGATTTTGGCAATAGTCTATTTCTGTGATCAGTCCAAGTACTTATTATCGTGCTGAAAATTCTTTCTGTTTTTTGCATCGTGCGCTGGAATCGCAAAGAAAAAAAAATTACACATTGCGTGGAATTTAATTTATTTAATTTCATGCTATATTTTATTATACAGTGCTCTTATATCCGAAGATATTGTTGACTTAGCATATAAACAACCACAAGTAGTCATAAAGTGCAGCCGTGGCACAGTGGTTAGAGTTCTGGCTCAGAACGCGGAGATCTGAGATTCGACGCCAGCTCCAGCCCAACAAGCGACAAAAAACAAACAAGTAAAAGGTCATGTACTCGTACAATCGCCTGTATTTTTGTACGAACACAGTGAAGTATGATGTCTCACAAAACCTTTTTCAATCTTTTATCAATTTCCAGCAGTCTGTATTTTATTTTTATGCTTAACAGGAACAATGTGTTGATCTAAATTAGTTTTTCCTTTATTTACTATTGAAACTAAGATATTATACAACTCACAAATTTGTGATCTTACTCAATGACTTTATGATCTAACTCAATGATTTTGTGATCTAACTCAATAATTTTGTGATCTAACTCAATGATTTAGTGATCTAACTCAATGACTTTGTGATCTAACTCAATGATTTTGTAATCTAACTCGATGATTTTGTGATCTAACTCAATGACTTTGTGATCTAACTCAATGAGTTTGTGATCTAACCCAATGACTTTGTGATCTAACTCAATGACTTTATGATCTAACTTAATGATTTTGTGATCTAACTCAATGATTTTGTAATCTAACTCAATGATTTTGTGATCTAACTCAATGGTTTTGTGATCTAACTCAATGACTTTGTGATCTAACTCAATGATTTTGTGATCTAACTCAATAATTTTGTGATCTAACTCAATGATTTTGTGACCTAACTCAATGATTTTGTGATCTAACTCAATGACTTTGTGATCTAACTTGGTTTTTTTAAACATAGGATTTTTCGCTTGTAATTCCTCAGAAAATTTACATTTTTGACGTGATATCCTAAGTCAGCCCTAATCTTAAAAGCAAAAAAAAGTTAATCAGCGTGCAATAATGGAATAAAAGTATTGAAAACGAATTAAATTTTTCTTATCTTAAGCATCGCATCTCAAACAAATCGAACCGGAATTGTCAGTTAATCGTTAGTTTTCTGCATACGCCGAAATTATGGATGTTTGTCATTTTTGAATTTTTTTTTTTTTCGGTATTATAGCATCAGTGATTCTTTTTAAAAAAGAGTACACATAAACTTTTTAGAAAAAATAAGAGTACATAATTTTACTTGCTCAAAGAAGTAAATGTACTCATTTCATTAATTTAATTATTTATTATTAATTTACTCATAAATAATAGTTTTCATAAGTATAAATGAAAAACAGCACAGAATCATGGGTAGAATCTTGTGCACAATGGACCAGAAATCTTGTGGACAATGGTCCAAAAACTTCTACTGAACAAAACTCAAAACTAATTTAATATTAGAGTTGTTTTGCCTAAAATTAAGATGAGGAATCTGATGTCTGCGCTTAATATGAAGGTGTTATTTTTTTTTAATTCGTTGGTATGGATACCTAATTTTGGATAGTAAAAACCTTGTTTTGGTATTACAAACTTTACATATATACCAATATGGTCACGCTTTTTAAAAAAGTGAATATATTTTTAATTAAGTTAATATGGATATCTAATTTTGCTTAGCAACAACTAACTTTTATTGGCTGCATTTGTTTTATTTGTGCAGCACAAATAAAACAAATGCAGCCAATAAAAGTTAGGATCTCATAATAAAACATGTGCTAAAAATAGCTCAAATTGTGCTATATACACTATTTAGCACATGTTTTATTATAAGATCCTTGCTTTGATCCTCGCTCGCGGAAAGCAAAACTTATCTAAGTTTAATATGATTAACTAGTGTTACTACACCTGCTATTACACGTTGCTAGATAAACTTACTTTCCTGTAAAAAAAAAATTATATTCCAGCCTAATTAATTAGTTTTTCTAATTTGCAGATTTTACAACCGTTTACAAAATTTTTCAAATTTGTATGGGTATTATGTTTCCATGCATTCACAATCACCGAAAAAGTTTGACAATTTATGCTACAAGTATTAAAAGCTTAGTAAGTGGTAGGTTTATATCTTCAAAAATACAAGATACTTATGTACAATATGATTTAGTCAAAATTAAAAAATAAAAGAATGATTTTCTTTTAAAAGTTGCACAACACCATCTGGAAAGTTTTTTTTTAGGTTGCTTTGATGATAGTGAAGTATTGATTGCAGGATCGGATGAGCTCATAAAACGCCGTAAAAGGTCTTTTGTCTTTGAATGCAAACACTTCTTTAAAAAAAAAAAGTTTATATTTTGTGCTTGTAACACCCGATAAATAAAATTTCGGACAAATTTTAATTGCATTTATTATGTAAAAACAAATCGTCCAGATCGTAGCCATCAGCAAAAGAAAGCTATGCGTTCTAAATGTCGTAAATTGTACAAAAATTATAAAAACTTGGATTTTGTTATGGTTGATGAAAGCTATTTTACCTTAAACAATAGCACATTAGCTGGTAATGATAGGTTTTATGCCGCTGATCCTTTTCAATGTTCTGACGAAGTAAGATAAATTTGCGTAAAGAGTACGAGAACAAGCTCTTAGTTTCTTGTTGCATCAGCTCCCGTGGAATAAGCCCTCTTTATATTCATCACAGTAAGCAGGCAATCAACCAGTTCACTTATAAAAAGATACTAGAAAAAACTTTACTTTCTCTAGTATCATAATATTATAAAAAGACAATGAGTTTATCTTCTGGCCTTCTCTAGCTCCATCACATTAGGCAAAGTCGGTCATCAACTTTTTAAAATTAAAAAAAATCAAAGTTGTACCCAAAGATATAAATCCAGCTAATGTTCCAGAAACAAGACCAATTGAAAATATTTTGGAACCACAATTCGCTAATTTATTTATTATGAGCTTGCATTGAACTGGATCTCTGGGTTCTGAGCTAGATCTCTAACCATTTTGAAATGGGTGCGCCACAATTTGCTAATTTATTTATTATGTTTAAGTTTTAAAACGTTTAGAAAACCACAAGTTTAACGGGTTTCGGTAATAAAACTTTTTATAAAAGAGGTTTTGTATTATTGTAATTTTTTTATTGTAATTTTAGAAAACGGCAATAAAAATGAAAAAATATATATATACAGTACAGGGCTTTTTGATAAGATCTTCGTAATCTGTTGAAATCCTGCCTACTGTCAAGAGTAAATACCACAAAAAGTTGCTGCAATTCCTGCAAGAAAACTTTCTCTTTTTAAATAAAACAATTTTTTCAATTTTCTACTTAAATATATTATAATATTTACATCTACTATTAAAAGTACTTATATATTTTTATTACGTCAAACAATATTAGTATTATTCAGCCATACCAAAAACCATGTAAAAAGCGTTTTTGATTATTAATTTCCGCTTTTTTAATTTTATTTGCTATTCCATTTTGTAAAACCACGTATATTATTTCATTTTTACTTCCGACTGCGTTTAAAGGAGCAATTACTTTTGATAAAATTACATCACCATTGTTTTTTCGTGGATTAGTGATAGTTCTGGTTTCAAATTTAATTTCACTTACAGAGTCATTACTTAATTGCTTTATAAAAGATGCCACCGTTTTTTCTGTCTTCTCTTCAACTAAATTCTTTGTTTGCGTGTTGTCATGATTTTTGATTTTGGTAACATATAGCATTTGTTTAAGATAAGGTGGGGTGTTTGTTTTGCTAAAGTAAAGCGATGTAGTTGTTTCACTAAGATAAGGTGGTGCGGATGTTGCAGTTATTTTATTTGATAAGTCATTCCTAGATAACTTTATAGCTGAT